AACTTAATTCTCATGAAGTTACAGCTAGGTGTATTTCATTTTAATGATCTCAAATTAAGCTAAGGTAGCGATTTGACAGCTACAACTTACAACGAAATGTCATTTTATTATTTCTTCTAGGAAATAATAGACCATATAAAAGGAAGTTCCCATAGTGCAGCGTACGCCTCTTTCATGTCGCCTCCAGTGGTCATGCAAATAATATCTTCGATGAAAATAATTATGGGCGAGGACGGTACAAGTAAAGGTTGGTAATAAAATGTGAAAAGTTCTGGTACATCCCTTCAATAGAGCGGTCAAACGTCTGCGCATGTGAGAACGTTGTAATGACTAGGTGGCGTGTTTTTCAGGCTGTCGGAACCAAGTTGTTTCCCACGAGTTATGAACAACCACACGGTTGTTTCCTATGTTTGGCGTACGGCCGGTCAGAATGGATTTCCTTGCGCATGCCCTTTTTTTTTTCTCCCCCAAGCCTTCAATTCCCCTAGTCGGTGGTCAAGTGTTAAAAGCTAATACACCTAGTTTTAAGAATGATTCTCCTTTAGCGGGAGAAGAGCGCATAGTGCGTATATGTATGCTCATTGTTTTAGGTTCAAGTTTTTCAGTTACCTGTGGGAAAAAAGCAGTCTCTTAGGAGAGACCTGTATCTTTTGGCGAATGCCAAGAATTTAGCGCGAGAGCTTTAGCTAACTAACATCGATTTTACAGCTTGCGTAGAATGCTGTTTTCCTTCGTTTGCTCTAGATTATTTGTCCAAGGAGCCAATCTGTTTCTTCATTTGTCTCAATGCCAAACTCGAAAAGAGTGAAGGCCCCTTTCTTTTCTTCTCTCACAAAGCCTCAATTTCCTCATTTTGTTGGTCAGTGCTTGAGCTTTCTCGACTAAAAACTTCTGTGAGATCGTGTCTGTATATTAAAGTGTAGGGAGGGTTACTTCTCGTCTCCACTAGAATTTCTGTTATGTTCTCAGGAAAACAGAGGCTTACCAGATTGGCACAGAATTGCAAGTATGTAGACTTATATGAATACTTAGGCCAATTTTTTCCTTACGGAGCCTCGAGCCCAGTTATGGGGTTGAACGACAACCAGTTGGTGAGGCAGTTGATATTTCCTTAGCATCTCAGTTGGCGCTTACGAAAGATCTTGAGGATCTCTAGCGTCTGATTTAAAATGCTAAAACAGTGGTTCTCATTATTGGTGCTGTGCTGCGGCACCAGCGTTTCGTAGGCCCCGAGCAAAGCGGGCGGCGAGAGGTCTACGAGGGGGGTCTGGCACTAATTGATTCCCCGCGTTTCTAAAACGTCCTTGTGGAAATCCCCAAATAATGATTAAGAAACCATCGTGCGGCGAGAGAAGTCGCCTATAAAATTATTTCATTACTTTACTTAATATTTGTGCTGTTTACATGACAGGTACTTCCGACAAAAGCTGAAAAAGATGGGCTTTATAGTTTACGGCCATGATGCCTCAGCAGTGGTACCCATTCTTCTTTACATGCCGGCAAAAACTGTGTAAGTTTTCTTTATCCTTTGATAAAGTGGATAGTTTACTGTCAAATTCCGTTTATTTGCCACTCTGATTTTACTCATTTACCTTCTAATGTGCTTGTTTTACGTTGCCCATAAAAGAAAACAAAAACATTAAAATCGATGAAAGAAGGCGGTACAAAGTTTGTATCACCTCAGTTACCGACTCAAGGATGGCCTTTTGTTAAGATTTCTTATGACGATTCAAATTTTTAAATGACACATTGTTTCAGTGCCTTTTCACGTGAAATGCTCAAAAGAGGCGTGGCTGTGGTCATTGCAGGGTTTCCTGCCACTACACTGTTTCAAGCGAGAGCGAGGATTTGTCTGTCTGCGTCACACACCAGGGAAATGCTCGATAAGGTAATGTGGATTAATTTTTCCCTTAATAACCTCTTATCTTGTTCTTCAGGAGAGGATATATCTGTCAGAATATCGTAACCTTTGTCTTTGAGATCATATATTTTTATAACCAACCGGAATAAGGGTGAAATTGGAATTGTTTTTGTGCTAAATTCTCTTTTTTTTTTCTTTGTTGTTGTTGTTGCTTTTTTCCTTTTTCTTCTACTACTACTGAATTATGTTGCACTTGCTGTTCCATGACTACTTTCGCACGTGTTTTCGCACGCACATGTTTCTCTGACACGAGCGTTTCTCTCGCCTGTATATTAGGGAGCCTTAGGGACCTTAAGCAACCACGACGGCGACGAGAGGCACTTAAGCAGTCACGACGACCTTAAGCAGTCAGGACGGCAACGCCAAGGAAGACTTCGGTTAAAAAATGAATTTCTACTCTTAGTCAGAATTTCAAAAATGGCTGCATGAGCTTGCTACCTCATAAGGCGCCACAGCTCAACTTCAGCATGACGTATAGAAGTAGCGTTGAGTTCCAAATGGAAATTAAATTAATTTGCCGTCGCGTTTCGGTTCGCAGACGACGCAAATTTTGGCGATTTCACGTTGTTGTTTTGCATCGGACGGCGAAGAAATGTACAAAGTTTCAAAACACACGTGCTGAGCTATTGTTCTGCCAATTAGATCTCTTGTTTTTCCACGTCATCGTTGCCGTCGCCGTCGTGGTTGCTTAAGGTCCCTAATATTCTCTTTTGTGATGCGATCCGCATCAAAAGTGACTACGTATATCGTGAGACAAACGATACTACTTCATCATTATTGTACTTTACCACGACGATTAAGCACAACCTTTTTTACGAAATTTTCTTTTACTAACTCTTGCTCGTCTTGTATCTCGTGTGTGTGTTTTCATTCGCGTTTCTAACCCAGGGTAATTGTATTTTACTCTTTAGGCTTTGAACGCAATCGACGAGGTTGGGGATATCCTCAGGGTCAAGTATTCAAGGCGAAAGAAAAACTGCCAAATCGTGAAAACAGAAGAAAACAGCTCTTCAGCTTAATTATAGACATTTTCATTTTTCGCCATAGAACTGCGAAAAAATTTCGGCATTGTATGTCGAACATGTTCCTCAAATAGTTGTGGATGAACTGGATCACAGACGACTTTGAATAAATCACAGGAGGAGAATAAACCAAATAATTTTCAAGCAATTTTTGTTGGTCAAAAAATTCCGTCGATTAAAATCCGTGTATAGTTTGAAAAGAGAAGACGTCACGGCTCACATTAGGACCCAGGACTTGATAATTGGCTGGGACTAATTCACCCAGCCTTGATAAACGGTTTTTTTTTACCTCTTGGAAGTTGAAATCTCACCCCGTAAATTTGATACCATAAGCTGCAGAGGAATGAACGAGAAAGAGTTACAACTTCAATCGAGGTCGAACTGGCTCCTCCCCTAACCCTCTCCCCCTTCCCTAACCCTCTCCCCCTCCCCCCATGCGCAAAAAAAGTATTTTAGGATTGCATTGAATTCTCTTTGCTTCACTCTGTGATTGGTTCAGAAAACTTACGCCACTTCTTAACCAATCAGATGGAAATCAGGTTACTTATTTTTTACTGATTTCTCATTGGCTATTGGTTATATTTCCTTCGCTCTGATTGGCCCTTGTGATTGCTTTGGTTTTGTTTTACGACACTTGATCACAAAACGCTCAATTTCCCACAATTCTTTGAGAAAGAGACCATCAGGCATCGTCTCTGAGACAACATTTCAGAGTGAGACTTACCGATTTCCTGTCTTCTAATGTAAGTTCTTTCAGTCCCACAACAAATGCGACCTTGGTTAACGCGCATTCAACTGTCATATCTCCCCCAGGAACTACTCCTAACTCGACCAGACCCTGTGTAAGTAACGAATCACAATATAAAACTCAGATATTTTGTGGTTTTTGAGATTTTTTAGTTTCTTGTGAGTGATACATCAACAAAAGCAAGTCTTGATTAAAGCAAAAAGGGCAAACGACCAGCACGTTATCCTTTCATTAATCTTTCCTAAATCTTCCTCAAAATATTTCCTGATATTTTCCAAGGAAATACTAGGTTCCCTCTTTTCAAATCTCTCTACAAAGTTGAGGGAAGACGGGGGGTCAATGGAGAGTGACAATCGTTGACCACCTTCCCCTCCCTTTAAAAAGCTTGAAAACGTACACAATGAATAAGGTCTCGGAAAACATATTCTTACAATACTTCATTAGTCGTTTAGTCAGTACCTTTTCTACGAACTCGGTAGAAACATCGTGTGGCCCTCCACGACAAGGACAACATGTGACAATGACCACGCCCTTGCCCGTTGCTTCTTTGATCGCTTTTATAAGATCAGTTCTCGAGTCTGGTATATTGCCGCTTCCATATGTTACCAGGACAACACCCTCTATTGAAGGTTCCAAACATCCTTTTATCTAACATATAAGCAAATAAAAGGTAACTGGATGGATGAAATGCAAGGCAAAAAACAGCTGCATTTAGAAGGCAAATCCAATGTAAATTCGAAACCTTTTGTAACTAATTTGACTGTATAATCATTAACCCTTTTAACTCCCTGAGGTGATAAACAAGAACTTCCCTCTATAATCATGATCCATACATTATCCAGCAAACAGGTAGCAAAAATACTCCAACTTATAAGGTAGAGGCTGTTATTTGATCTAACACAAAATCCTCATGATTCATTCAAAAGGAAATGTGTACCAATTAAATCATATAGAGGGGAGAATTAACAACTGGGAGTGGAAGGGTTCTGAATTGACCTTTTAAACCCTGACATTACTATTCAATTAAAAGAAAAAGTAAAATCCACACAGCAGCTACGGAAGTTTGCAATCACGGGTAAACAAAATGACATGGTCTAGAAGAGAAATGTAAGCAGGTGGGAATACTAATGTGAAGGTGTAAAGGCTCAATTGAACCCCTCAACTCCCAGTGTCTGGTTATCAATTCTCCCTTCTTGTTAGTACACATTTTGTTATGAATAAATCATGAGGATTTGGTGTTAGATCAAATAACAACTTCTACTTTATATTCTTCACTCTGATCCCTCTACATTTCCTTTTTTTTTTTTTCATTGGACAATAAGGAGCTTTTTAACCATTAACCATGATCTGATTGTTAATTCTCCTCTCTAGCTCTTACATATTTCCTTGTAAATTAGTTTTGAGAATGTTTTGCTAAATCAAGACAACAACTTCTACCTAATGAGTTTGAGTATTCTCGTGACCCATTTTCTGGATATTGTATGAATAGTATAGGGAGAAATTACATGTTAATCACTTCTTGGGGTTAAATTGGTGATCATCTCCAGTATTCTCATGATTTTTACATGTGAACCAAGGGTGATACTGTAAGGAAAAATTAGAAGCCAGTCTAGTCCACACTTGGGAGGGTTAAGACAATAATAAAGAAGAGAAAGTGCGTAACACTTTCTATTATGCTGTGAAAAATGAGGTGGCTCCCAATGTATTTAAAAACTCTGTAAATAAGATCAAAGTTTACTATGACATTGTAATTAATACCATCTGTATTGGAATACCAGGAAACACTGGAAGTAGTGCTATGTTTTGGCTCATCTTTGTGTGGAGTGTGAAACATCCTCTATGTCTTGGATCAGCAGAATAATTCCATTCAACTAAGTAAAGACAAAATTTATTCCCAAATTATGAAAGGCCAATTGACCTGCTAAATTACAACTGTACAGCTGAAATAGCATGCTACAAAAGCAGAGCATGGTAAAATCTGTGCTATGAGTTGCTGAAACAGTTAAAAAATTAGGTGCAATAATACTACCAAGCTACTATTAAAGGGCTAATTTCAGGCATAAATTTTGAACAGAGCTTATGTGATATAACTTTAAAGGCAACCAATTAGAGTTCAGGGGAAAAGGCAAGGATTGGAACTGACGATATCTTGCACATAGGTCTATCACCTTGGTAAGAGTGTAGCTTTTGCATACAGAATGACATGAGCATATACGTATACCACAGACAGAAAAAAAGTTAGTTACAAATAAAATCACCTACCAACTCCATCACTGCTTAGTTTTGCCAGTGGAGGGCAGCTTGGTGAGTCAAAAACAGAAAAACTTATAGCATCTACTTTGGTTGATCTATTTCCTCTAAACAGCTTACCATTAAAGAAAATTGTCACCTGTGGAGGAAGAAAGCTGTTTCTGAGATATCTGATCAATATATAAGTGCAAAAGTATATTGAAATGGGAATCACTAAAGATTGCTTGCACAGCAGTCATTTGCTTTCACCTGAATCACATTTATCAAGCTTGCTAAGTACATTCAGTCCCTTCCACTTTCAAGATCTCATACATCTATGCTCTTACCTCTGAAACTGCATAATATCCCGCAAACAAAAGTGCACCAGCCAGGTTATCTTTTGCATCTGTCACTTTCTCATAAATTGGGGTCTGTGATAAAAGGGAACAAGTAAATAATCTGATGAACTAAACTGACAATGTCGCTATAAAGTGAAAAATAGTATTTGACCATAAATAGATGATGATTAACAACTATTCACCAAAGTGGAGGTGGTTAGTGGTGGATATTTACCGAGCCGCGAAGCGGCGAGGTAAATATCCACCGCTAACCCCCGACACTGAGGTGAATAGTTGTTTTAGTATATACTAAAACAGTGAGATAATATACACTGCTTCGTTGTTAATTTGAGTGATTTCTTCGCTTGTGACGGATGCAAACCGGGACGCCATTTTTTCCCGAGTTGCTTGGAGGTAAATAGCAAAGGATATTCGGAGTTTGACTAGCCAATCAGAGCGTACATTCAACGCTATCCACTGTTTTAGTATATACTAATAATAATTATTATAATAGTCATCTTAAATTAAAAGTTACATATCTTATGTTTACAAAAAATGCCAAAAAAAGGAAAAATACCACTGACACAGCTAGGCTATATTTAAGAATTAGTAGATAAAAATAGGGGTTCTTCACTTGATCAGTGTTTAATTTTGGCCAGTGACTAGATTTGTGTCTTAGATTGTATTCCCTGTGCTTCAGTTTAGGAATGTTTCTTAGAGGATGTTTCTCTTGATATTTAATCTTGTCACAAAAATTTTCTTCTCTGTTTTTCTGAAAGATCACAGATGTTGACACAACCCAGAACCTGTGATCATGATCATGTTTCAAAATATTTGCAAAAATGCTAGATTCAGACAATATAGGGGTTACAATTTTATTCATCATAAGAAAGCTAACAGTTTGGTTCACTTTCTACTACCTAAATCACAGATTTTAAATCAAGGTAATTCACTGCTTCACAGTGGAATTGAGTGTTGTTTTAATGTGACTTTAATGCAAGTTCTGTCAATCTCAGATGCCAATATTTTGACCCGCATTATTCCCTTAGAGTGTTCTTACTATTACTGGTAATCACACTGGCACTCAAGCCTACAAAAAACACTTGGAAATTCTAACATGGTTTACCTGTGCTCCAGTAAGGACCACAGGTTTCCCAAGATTCTCAAGCATGAAAGACAGTGCTGACGCAGTATAAGCCATAGTATCAGTCCCATGTAATATCACAAATCCATCATAGTCCTCATAGGTATTAGCAATCTCTGTGGCCATGTCCATCCAGTCCTTCGTACAGGTATCTTTTGATTCACGCACATTACCAGCCTTTTTGATATCATACAGTATTCTGCTGTTATCTTGATCATGTGCACTAAACAAAGTCCAGTACATTAAGCAAAACTTCTAATTCTTTCACAGAAAAAATTGGGAATAGTTAATGTTTTAAAAAAACTCATGTGCTTATTGATTATACATTTCTTAAAATTCATGATGATCAATTGTTGAAGTCAAGTTTATAATTTCCTTAATTAACCATTTTCTTTTAATTTAGGCAAATTAATGCCATTGGCCATCAATAATACCATCTGCACCTTTCTGCTCCTAAAACAAACTGGGCAAAGCAGAAAATTACAATTATATATAAAGCCATCATTTCTTCCATCCATCATGATAAACATATCTTTGAAAACTAGTTTTGAGAGTAGTATGGTGTTAAATAAGACTCTCTAGCTGACATGTTTGTCTCTTCTCTAATACCATATCTTGCAAAAGTTATAATGGCTTCCTCATACCAAGGTTCAAGTCCAGTCTACCTGAGCTCAGTTGTCAAAGTTATCTTTTTTAAGATGAGGCTTCTGTAGATATAACTCCTGACAACTATCATGGCTTCAGCTTCCATGTACTACAATCATGAGCTAGCAAGCCTGAGTCCCCATGAGGCATCAAATCTCAGATCCTCAGATAAGTAGTACTTACGGCATAGCCAATCTCTCTGTTACACCCACTTTTCTTGCTTGGGGCAGAGCAAAAGCAACATCATGAAGCAATGGATGCTTTTTCAACTCTTCAATGGATAAATCCAAATGCAGAATGCAAGGCTCTGAAATGAAATGATTTTTCCTTTTCACCTACTTTGATTCTGATCATTTTTGTCTTGCCACGGCATGCACTCTTCATGATTGAAAATAATGCATCTTTATTAATTTCATCTACACATGGTAAGTGTCCTGCAAAACATCTAAATTATGTAGTCTATGAACAAATCAAAATTAGTTGATATCATACCATTTTCAGAAAGCTTTTTCATTCCAACTGTCCCTCCAGTATATAGAACAAGGACCAGGGAGGACTTATCAGGTGTCGTGTTACTCATAATGAAGAGATGGAGAATATTATATAAAGGCAGCTTTCTGAAGTACACTATAATCTTCCCCGTTCACTTCCTGATGTCACTGTGGTGACTTAGGTATACCCTAAAAATAGGAGAAATTGAAGGAAGAGGGAACTTAGCACTGTTTATGTCTACCATTTTCCCAAGAACCTCCCCCACCCCCACCCACCCCGCCACCTTAACCCGAGAGGTGGTGATGTTCCTCCTTTTCTGACAATGGTTGATTGCAATAGGCCGCCTCCAGATACAATAAAAAGCGAGAAATATAGCAACGCCTACGGCAACGGAATGCTAGAGACCGCAAAGAAACCTGAACGAAAGCTTCCAGTACAATAATTAAAGTAAACTGAGGTGACATTACCTAGATTCCTTACCATAAAGTTCGAGGGCCAGGCGAATCACTATTTGCTGTTCATTTTCGCTCTCTGTCGATGTAAATAACCTTCAAAATATTACTCAGATTACCTGTATGGCATTTTCTTTTCCTTTTTTTTTTTTAATAACATAAAATTCGTGACCCATCCATTTAGCCAACTTTTCCGTTCAGTTTGTCACGAAACCATGAACAACATTGTCACGCTACAACGAAAATCCGCTGGCCGGGTACAGAGGAACAGCGGGTTACATGACTGTAAAACGTTTAGCATGCCACGCCAACGACGACAAAATGTTAACCGGAATTGAATATCAATCATAATGACGGCTTCTCTTGTTAATAATCATCTTAAATCTTCAATCTGTGTCTGGGAAAGCATTCTACCATTCACCGCATGCATAAAAGCCTCTCGGGGTGTCCCCTAGAAACTAAGTTCGCTTGTGGGCTGTTCATGAGTTATTTTGTACCAAAGAAAAGTGGAATATATTTCATTTAAGTGAATTATATTTTCCATCGTTGAATCCCACGTTTGCATTGGCGAAGGGAGACATGAATTACTTTATCGTCGTGTTTTTAATACTCGTCCCATTGTCCAAGGCCGGGAAATCGAGAAAATGCAGAATTATTTCGAAGCAGTTCGCAAGTGTTCGGTGACCGAATACACGGAATGGGTCGTATTTGAACAGCATTTACGAGAGGGAAAATAAAATCATGGAGCACGTCTAAAAAAAGAGAAGTATCAAACTAAGATCCACTTTTCATTTCGCAAGAGTGAGAATTCGAGAGCGACTGTTGGCAAACAAAAGAAGTTTGAATCTACACCAGGCGCAAAATTCCATAATAATGACTGAAGTAGTTCTCTAGTTAGCGTTCTATTTTCTGTAAAGAATTTAAGAAAATTGACAAATTCATCGTTTAAGAAGACCGTCGCAGTACTATCTTAATTCTGAAGCCTAAATGGCGTCGTGCGGCAGAGCATGTTGTCGGGGTAAAATCCTCTGCGAATTAGATGTCAAAATTTAAAATGGTTTATTTACAGAGCTGACACCGGCTTATCTACAAACACCAAAGGTGAGAAAGCACTGCATCCTCCTGTTTATATTCGCTTGCGACAAAAAACGTCTTGTTAGCATTTCTCTGCTGCATTTTCTGCTGTCACAATACAGCCTTCGAAAGCTGTGTAAACGCAAGCCACGAGAAAGGTGTTATTAAAGGAATGATGTCCCTTTTTGTATTGCTTCAACACCACAAAGCTTTGATCAACGAGTTTCACTTAAGATGGAAGTAGTTTTGCGTGTCCTTATTGCAGCAAGTGTGACTGCCCTGGTCTCAGGCCATGGCCGGCTTATTGACCCACCTAGCAGGAACTCAGCTTGGAGGTACGGTTTTGGAACACCGAGGCAAGACACCGATAACGAGCTTAACTGCGGCGGGTTCAATGTCCAATGGTCTACGAACAAAGGAAAGTGTGGCGTGTGTGGAGACGCCCATCACTTAACGTCCGGCAAAGCTCTTTACACTCACCCTGGGAAGTACGCAACGGGAACCATCACTAAGACCTACAAAGAGGGACAGGACATTGAGGTGGTGGTAGACGTGACCTCCAACCACCAGGGATACTTCACCTTCAGAGTTGGTGACATCGGCTCTCCTCCCATAACTCAAGAGAAGCTGAAGTACGTGTTGAGGCAGCCCAATGGCGACACCAAGTGGAAAATCAACTCGCACGGGAACGACGTGTTTACGATCAAGCTAAAACTTCCCGAGGGCTTGACATGTGATCACTGCGTGTTGCAATGGTGGTGGCGCGTGGGAAATAACTGGGGATGCGACGGGAAAAGAAACTGTGGAATGGGTAAAGGACCACAGGAAACCTTCGTAAACTGCGCCGACATCAAGATCACGAAAAGTGACGGAAGTGTGCCGCCACCACCTTCTCCCACTCGACCCCCGCCACCTACCGAGGCACCTCCAGACCCTCCCAAGCCAACCGAACCCCTTCCTACCAATGCTCCTAACCCGGAGGGTTGCAGATCAGTACCTCCCTACAAAAGTAAGCAAATGGATGACTGGTGCCGCAGAAATTGTGCCACAGGATACTGCCCGGCAACTCACTGCAAGTGCCCAATGTAAAGAAGTTCCCCATAACCTGAGGTTTGCACTGAATTTACCTGGTACTGAGAAGGTAAAAGGGTTTGACTTTTGATTTATTTTACTTGCACCGTTTCATTCGATGTATCTGTGGGTTAATAACATGTATATCATATCAATGAAAAGATAAATTTGTCTTTTGATTTTACTTGCACCGTTTCATTCGATGTATCTGTGCTTTTACTTGCACCGTTTCATTCGATGTATCTGTGGCTTAATAACATGTATATCATATCAATAAAAAGATAAATTTGCTTCTTCAAGATAACCAAATAGTCTCTGTTTTTTCTGCAACTCCGCTACGAGTTTTTCGATGTTAACATCACCTAGGATCCAGTCTCCTCCCCAGTCTTCCACACCGCCAACTGAATATCTCCTGAAAATTTCTTAACTTTTCAACCACACTATACAGTGTGTCAGTACGAGGAACAACACATTTGCGACCACTCTTTCCTCACCAAACTACTAAGACTGGCAAATGTTCATCGAAAACCTACACTGTTTTATTCTCTCATTAAAACCCCGACCAGGGGTTTACTTCATCTGAAGGTCGATTTTGTTTCTTAGGTATTTCCTTCATTGATACTAGATTAAATATTGAAGCACCATTACGTATGCCCTCGCAAGTACATAACACCCAACTCTGTCGTGATACCCATAATGATAAAAATCCTGGCATACCCACAAACACCAATGAGACACTTGCAGGTGACCCCCCCCCCTGCCCCTCGCCACATTTCACAAAAAAAATTATCCTTACGACGGTCAAACATTTAAATTACAATAAGGCGGGGAGGGGGGGAAGAAGTGGAGTGTGATACATAATTTCAGTGAGTCTGTCCACAGCCGTTATTTATTTATTTATTTTTTTGCGTATAGATTTTCGAAGAAGTGCGCGACGTGCGAGCGCGAGAACGGACATGATCCTAGTTTTGCAGTCATTAACAATTAACTCCCAAGATTTGATTGTTAATTCTCCCCTTTAGCTGCTATGCATTTCCTGCAACATAGTTTCGAGAATTTGGCTATAGATCAAGATAACAACTTCAACCTGATAAGTCTGAGTGATTTCATCATCTGTTTACCGGACCATGTATAGATATAATAAGGAGAAGTTACATGTTAATCACTTCTGGGAGTTTTTCGGTAATTAAATATTCTGCAACTTGTATGCCATCCACATAACATAGGAGAGAATAAAGGGCTTGTAGTCAGAGTAAAATTAATTTGAAACCGTAGAAACTAAACAAAATTTGTCGGTGGGAAAACAATGTTTGCTTCACCTTCCCATTGCGTAAAACTTTCTTATGAATCCGAGTTTTACAGCTGCATAACACTCGGCATCAGGCAACGATTTAGACGCCGGAAAGTAAACGCAGAACTGTACTCAAAAATTTGGAAACGACCACCAGGATTCTCTTTCCGTTTTTTTGGAAGTTTTTATCGATCGACATTATATCAGGCAACAAACGTCAAGATTACAGGCCGCTACTTTGATTAACATTGCTTTTTACAGCTTTAAAATCTCTGAAATATAAAATTAGGAATAGTCTTTGCATAGACAAACATCATCCAAATCAGTTTACCTTTATCATGAAGGGAGCAAAATCTATTAAAATCTTCACTCTTCAGTACCCTCTCACTTTCGCATTTGCAAACTAAACAACACCACTGTATGTACCTTAAAGAACTAGAATGCCCCATTTCTGTGATAAAAAATTAGTTCGAGCTCAGTTTATTTAAACACGAACATTTTATTATCAGTTAAAACGCCTTTGATTCTTAACTTTAAATAGCGTTTTACTCCAAACTAAATAAGCATTTTTCGTGGTATTAAATTTAAAAGAGATGGATCTCTCCTGGGTTGCTCTAGACCAATATTGCACTAAAACGTCATAGTTTTCGTCAAATATGTCTTTTGATTTCACCTGTGTTTGCGTCCTACATGTGTTCTAGTATAACACTTTTATTTATAAACCACAAAGGTGTGAATGTAATGTTTGTATATCTCGTAGATATGCCGTTCAAACGCCAGAAATTCTTAGCAAGGTTTGGACACATTGCACTGATATTCAAACAACGGACAACCAAGATGTTTCATCTTCACAGACCAGATGACAGTCGCCAACCCACGTGAGGGGCGTTGCTAACCAGGGGGGGGGGGTCCTCTGCTTGTTCTCCCAACTTTGTATAACATAATGATACTTCACAAACAAGACACCTTGACGTGCTTCAAAGTGCTGATATGGCGCTTGGGCAAGAATCCCCCCCTTGCCAACAACACGCCTATCGTGTTTTAAATTGATGTGCTGTTCGATTGAGATCACAAACGCTAAGAAGGTGCCATACTAAGCGCTCGAGAAACATGGCAGCGCCTTTGCAAGTTTTTATCGCGCTGAACTTTATCACTTTAGTTCTTGGTCATGGCAGGCTTATTGACCCAGCTAGCAGGAATTCGGCCTGGAGATACGGTTTTGGAACACCGAGGCAAGACACCGATAACGAACTGAACTGCGGTGGCTTCAGCGTTCAGTGGGACGCCAACAAAGGAAAGTGCGGCGTGTGTGGAGACGCCTACCACTTTAAGCCTGGCAAAGCTCTTTACACTCACCCCGGGAGGTACGCAACGGGAACCATCACTAAGACGTATGAAGAGGGGCAGGACATTACGGTAATGATAGACGTAACCTCCAACCATCAGGGACACTTCACCTTTAGGGTGGGTGACATTGGCTCTCTTCCTATAACTCAAGAGAAGCTGAAGTACGTGTTGAGGCAGCCCAATGGCGACACCAAGTGGAAAATCAACGCGCGGGAGGACAAAATTTTTGAGATCAAGCTTAAACTTCCCGGAGGCCTTACATGTGATCACTGCGTGTTGCAGTGGTGGTGGCGCGTGGGAAACAGTTGGGGATGCGATGGGCCTAATGACTGCGGAATGGGCAAAGGACAACAGGAAACCTTCGTAAACTGCGCCGACATCAGGATCACGAAAAAGGACGGAAGTGTGCCGCCACCTCCTCCAACACGGCCTCCCCCTCCCACTGAGAAGCCTCCGGGGCCTACCGAGCCCCTGCCTACCAATGCTCCTAATCCGAAGGGCTGCAAAGCCATAGCCGCCTGGACAGGCAACAAAGCAATAGATGATTGGTGCGTAAGAAACTGCGCCAAAGGTAACTGTCCAGCCCACATGTGCAAGTGTCCGAAGTGAAAGGAACTGTAAACTGATCAACATCAAATCCCTTGCTGGTGGTAGATTGGCAGAAAATGAAATGTATGGTTAGGTTAATATCTGTATTTTAATAAATTTAAAAGGTGTGGGATGCCTTTGTAAATTTTTTTTGTTTTTAACAGTTATGCTGAGTTAACCCTATGAATCCTAAGGGTGATCAGCATCTAATTTCTCATCACAACACCCCTTCCCCCTGAATCATACATTAAGGTTAGATTATACGGGACCATATAGGGAATGCGATTTTAGTGGGCTTATAAGAGTGTGGGGGAGGGGTGGGAGGGTTTCGGGTACTACTTGTGGGCTTTTAATAAAAAATTTAATATATATTTTTGTATTTTTTTGCATAAATATATTTTTATAACGAAGTTGAAATGGTAAATTAGCCACCGTAATGATTACAAAAGCTGACGTTTCGAGCGTTAGCCCTTCGTCGGAGCGAATAGAGGAATTGTGGATTGTGTGTGCTTTTAAAGGCAGAAAAAAGCACACACAACCCACAATTCCTCTATTCGCTCCGACGAAGGGCTAACGCTCGAAACGTCAGCTTTTGTAATCATTACGGTGGCTAATTTACCATTTCAACTTCGTTATAAAAATATATTTATGCAAAAAAATACAAAAATATATATTAAATTTTTTATTAAAAGCCCACAAGTAGTACCCGAAACCCTCCCACCCCTCCCCCACACTCTTATAAGCCCACTAAAATCGCATTCCCTATATGGTCCCGTATAATCTAACCTTAATGTATGATTCAGGGGGAAGGGGTGTTGTGATGAGAAATTAGATGCTGATCACCCTTAGGATTCATAGGGTTAACTCAGCATAACTGTTAAAAACAAAAAAAATTTACAAAGGCATCCCACACCTTTTAAATTTATTAAAATACAGATATTAACCTAACCATACATTTCATTTTCTGCCAATCTACCACCAGCAAGGGATTTGATGTTGATCAGTTTACAGTTCCTTTCACTTCGGACACTTGCACATGTGGGCTGGACAGTTACCTTTGGCGCAGTTTCTTACGCACCAATCATCTATTGCTTTGTTGCCTGTCCAGGCG